CTGCTCACGAAGCACAGCAGTCACAGTTGCGTTAAAACCTAAATTTCCGAACGACTTTCTGGTCTATACTCGGGGTACTGGAGTTGAAAAGGATTCCATGATCAATCATCTGTCAAGGCAGTACAACGGTGCAGAACAAGCTAGTGAAGAATGGCGTTCGACCTACAAAGTCTGTGTACCGAATGTGCCCCGCCAATAATGACCAAACTTTCAAACTGCTCCATCGTCCTCCATCTATATGAATTATATGCAGTGTTGCAGAATACTCTGGGAAACAAAAACATTGTCAACGAAACATTTTAACGTCACATCCATTTTATTGAAAGTTATGAAATTGAACATTTACACGACAACCTTAATAAGACAATCCATGTTTGGGTTTGTTATAACATCACATATTACAATTATCCAAGTCGCCGTGTGGATAATTGTCATATTTTAAAAGTACATAATATTTAGTCATCATTATCAATTGTTCATACCAAAACTTGTATGCAAAACAATAATATTTAGTCATCACTATCAATTGTTCATCTCCAAAATTGTATGCAAACGGTATTATTTGTTATCATTATCAATTGTTCATGTCATAACTTGTATACAAAACGGTATTAACAACTGACTGTATGGACTTAGTGACTGCTCTCTGGTCTGATATCTCCCCGTTGATCTTTCCGGTTTGGTTGTACCTGCCAGAGGCGACGCCTCCACCGGCTAAGCTCTCAGGATCATAGAAACACACAAACCTCTCCACCACGGCAAGGTGGCAGTCCAAGAGAGGGGGGGCTTAGAGATGTGAATAACGCAAATAGAATGAAAAAGAAATTGAATGAAAACGTGAAAGGCCTTATTGTAACCTAGTAACTACCTTGTTTTGAATAAAAAAGAAACTGAATGAACACATACTAGGGCAAAAGTAGTAATAGACAATTTCCGAGTCTGCTTCAATACGAGTCCTCGTGTAAAACTTTTATTGTGAAAATTCCGTTTCTTTTGTATGGAAATGAAGTTACAGATAAAACGCATTTTCATAACAATGGTTTCGCGCACGAAGACTCGTTTTGACACAGAGACAAAGGGCAATTCGGGAATGGCCAATTAAATTGTTTTGGATTAAAAAGAAATTAAATGGAAACGTAACGAGGCCTTGGTAGAACCAAGTAGTTGGCTTGTTTTTAAATCTACTGGAAAAAGATGTTCTTCTCTAGCTCTTTGATCGCGTTGGCTACTTGCCTTTTCAAAGACAAGTTAGGCCGGCTGCTTCCAATGCGGTGTCCACGAAACACCAGATTGTGGCGCTCCTTCACATACGTAGAGAAATCGCCCTGCAATTTAGATAAGTATAAAAATATTATTTTTTTTATTCAACACATAATAACGCGAAATAACAAATGAATAAATGAATGAATCAACGAATCAATCAATCAACTAATCAATCACTTAATCGATTGATCAATCAATTTATGCAACTGAAAATCTATTATCTTTAAAGACAAAGTGTAGCCAAAGATCTTTGGGATTCTTGCCCGAGCTTCTGAGCATTCCTCTAACATCG